CAATATTCCAGAGAATATTATTCAGTGAATTAACATTATCCAGTGAATTATTCTTGCTCTTTAGCCTATTAAACAGCTTATAAACCTACTAAAACTGTAGTTTAAAATGAAGTTGATATGACTCCTTTCATTTATTTATTTTCTCCATTTGAAAACATTAGACCTTCTACATTTATCTTGCTTATTGTTAATATTAGTGTTGCTGCTGATGCTTTAAATAAAACGTTTTTTATTGTAATATGAAGATTAAATTTAACATGAAAGACTTTTTCAACACAAGAATTTTCAACACACAGTAAATAAATATCGGTTCTGCATATCGGTTATCGGGCACATAAACACTCAAATAATTGGTATCGGTATCGGTTATAAAATATCAATATCGGTCGATCACTAATTACGTCATCGCGAATTACGTCATTACGTTAGGGCGTAAAAGAACCGATGAACCGGTTTTTTGAACCGGTTCATTGAAACGAACTGTCCGAAAGAACCGGTTCGCGGAAAATAACCGGACTTCCCATCACTAGTTCACACTAGCAGCGACTTTTGTAAATGCATGTCGCCAGGGGCTGGCGATGAGGTTGCTAGTGGGCGTTCTCAATACTGGTTGCCTTGACAGTGAATCAAGTTTCTTGCCACTAAGTACAAACATTTTGGAGGCAAAAGACTAAATATAATCAGGGGTGAACATAAGTGGTATGCAGGTCCGCATTCGCAACCAATTCAATTCAATGGAGAGCTGGCGATTTCCCGGCGACACGAGCGACAGCGGCCATTGGCGACCGGATGAGGCGTGTCCAGTGATGCGACAAAGTTCAGAATCCTTCAACTTTATGCAAATGAAGAGCGACTTTTTTTTTTAAACAATAAGTTATAAACCTTTAAAAACAGACCTACTGTGAGCTAAGAGGCTGTTAATGGACAGTATACGCTTTTCTTGAAGCCATCTATTCACATTATTTCAACTTATTTTTAAAATAATTCACTTTAACAGCTGAATTTGTGGTGAAAAACTCTACAATACAGAAAATTCCATTAATCAGACTTGTGGTAAACAAATCGCACCTAAAGAGCTCTTCATGGGAACCTGATGAAAAAAAAAATGTAATGTTATCTGCATTATATTTAATCTCCCACAACATTGTGAACTTTTATATGTTTGGTCATTAACTTTTAAATGCATCGTTATGCAAACATATGAGGAGAGTTCTCAGCATAAAAGACCCATGACTGGCAGATCAACATGCCTCTTCATTTCTCTTCAATTTGGTAGGAAATGAAATGAAATGTGGAGGATGCTAACTGTAACAGGATGATTGATGGGGCAGTTTTAACAGTAACAGAATGTCCGTTTAAAGACGCAATTATGATGAAGCAGAATATCCCAAAGCTTGCCTACTTTTCTGCAAAAATGTTTTTACTTGTACAACATACTTGTAGGGTATAATACAAGTAGGTGAATAGATATTATCAACAATTTTAAATGAATAGTTTAGTATTCATCATTTTTTATTTGATTGTCTTCCACAATGCTTCATGGGATTGTAGTTCTTTCCCGTTAAGTACATAGTCTTTTACCTCTGCCTTTTTGTCTGGTTTCAGATACTTTTTTGCTTCAAATGAAATGTGTAATGTTGTGATTAAACTCATAGCTGCTTCGTTTGGTTCATGGTTTATAACTCTTTAACAAAAGCTTTTTAAAACTCCCTATAGGAATTAATAAAAAATACAAAAAACTTCCAGAAACAAAGCTACTCAACAAGTGGACGGCACTAATGCACTCTATATAAATTAGCATGCACATTTTCATTTTATAAAGAAGCCCTGCTGAAAAGAACAGCTGAAACTAGTTGGCTGGTTTTATCTTGTCCTCCAGACTGGCCAAAGCTAGTTTGCAGGCTGGTTTTAGATGGGTTTTGACCACTTCTTTAACAGGTCAAGCTAAAACCAGCTGAACACCAGCTTGGCCAGGCTGGGAGACAAGTTAAAACCAGCTACTTCCAGCTTAGCCTTTTTTAGCCAGGAGGGTTCTTAAATGACTAATAACATCAGAAGGCAGAAGCTTCCCTAAAAATGTCATCCATAAATGTTTAAGTTTCTAAAGAAGCAACAGCAATCCTTGTTCAGTTCTCAATTTTCATGCCTGGAGCTGAACATACCAATCACTTATGGCTCCTACTCACTTCCTGGCAGATCCAATCAGGCACAACAACACAAACATAGACTCCTCTCTCTCCATAGTAATAGAGGCTGAACAAATTGGAGAGCAGAACCGATGCATTAGGTCCTGGCCTTTGGCCACGCTAATAAAGGGCAGGACCTGAGCCCTCATTTCCTCTGAGCTGACTGGTGTTTTGCCCGCGGATAAATCAGATAGTGTCAAATCATTACAGCCAAAATGACACTCCAAGGAGTGTTTCGCTTCGCTCATTCATCAAAGACGAACAAAAGGTGAGAGCATTCGCTTTGTCGGAACCGTGCAAAGACGGACGAAGAAAGAAGGATGTTTTAAAAGAGAGCGCAGCTGGCCAGAGAGACATCATGTCCTCCCTCTTGGCACTCTATATAGTGTCTGAGCGAAGATGCAGTTGGAATTTATTTACAAAGACCTGCCAAGCATCTCTCCACCTGCCAAATAGCGCTCCCACTGTCACAAGTGTCAATGAAATGGCCCTTTATTCGGCAAAGACTAATTGAGACACAAGCATCAGTTGTGGACCGCGCTCGGGATTCTGTATGGAGTCCGCTGGGCAGATGTACCGCATCTCTCCTCGTCTCCAAAATCTCTTTGTCCACTAAATCAATAGCCCTCAGTGATGAACCGCTGACAAGAACACCATCCTTTCAAACCGAGAGCTTTCATTATTCCCATTCCCACTTCTATAAGTGCCTGAGCTTTTCAGATGCTTTCCGTAAAATGATTTTCAAGGTAAGCCAAAAATAGTCGAGAGCAAGCCTGAGTGCTCGTCGTGCTTTGAAAGGACCACAGCTGTGGGGAAAAAAAATTGTTTCCGCTTTGGACATAATTAGGTGTGTTTTATTCTAAGTGCTTTAATCTTGGATATCTAATGCAAATCTATTAAACTCTGTCCAAATGTGCTGTATGTGGACAGTAGACAATGAACCACCCATGTTCTCAGAGCTGTGGTGTAGCAGTTAGTGCACAACATCCAGATATTGAGGTGTGGTGCACATGTGGAAGGTTCAAATTCGTGTCCTGATGAACTGCTGGATGAATCTCATTAAACCTTTTAAAAACATGCCCAGGTCACATTTCCTCCGAAAATTTTAAGAGAAAATGAAGAAAATATATTTTGCATAAACAAAATAAAGACATTGTGACATTATTTTCATGACAATTAAGCTCATTTACAACCTCAGATTTCCGCACTGAATGTGTGGCAAGTTTCCAGTGACTATTTTATTTTAGTTAAAAAGTGATTTATGTTTTAAAGTTAATGAAAGTAAAAAGTGAAAATGCTGCTTGATGTAACACAATTACAGGCAATCTGAAAAGTTGGAAAGTCCAAGTTCCTACTCAAAAGAAAAATGAAGCCTAGAATATTTTTTGTACTGTGACATGATTTTGAATTTCAACTACACGTTCCTATTGTTATTATTATAATGCAGCATTTTTAAAAGTGCACTTTTCTGAGTAAGTTACAGGAGGTGTGGAGAATGTTGATAAATTCAACAAGAAAAACACATTTTATTTTATATATTTTTTTTAATTAAAGATTAAAGAGAACTGAAAATGAACACTAATAAAAGGCAAATATTTTTCACAATTACCTTTTTCATTATATGGTAAAAAGAATAATCCAATAAATCAGGATATTTTGGAAAGAAGAACACTTCTAAAGGTTTGTGTGTTTTTTTTTTTTGGACAACTGCAGTGCATGTATGCAATTTAGCAAGAAATATCTGTACATTCCCACATCTAAATGTGGCTCTCTTAATTGAGCTGATTTTATAACCAATTATAAATAAATGAATGAATAAATAAATAAATGTATTTATTCTCTTGTAAGTTTTGTCAGAGACCCACTATTTAACATTTAAAAAAACAAAAAAACTAAAGCAACAAAATTGTATTCTCATTACTGTAATGAAGAAAAAAATGAATTGTACAATACTGATCCAAAGGTTTGGGGTCAATAATTATTTTTTTTAAACAATTAATACTTTTATTCATACATTCATATATTTCAAATAAAATTTCTATTCATTAAAGAGTACTGAAATAATCTGATATTTTAAAATATAATTTTTTTTAATTATAATATTTCACAATATTACTGTTTTTACTGTATTTTTGATCAAATAAATCCAGACTTAGTGAGCACTGAGCATAAAAGACTTTACATTTTATTGAGCCTCGAACTTTTTAATGTT